ACAGTGGGCGTTGATTACTGACCCGTCACTTAAAGGACCTTCTTTACTGGATCATGGACAAGGTGGTTTTAGAACAGAAACAGAAAAGACAAAGAGAGTTATCAGTGACAGAGCCGAGACGTCCAGGGCCTCACTCGCTACTCGTGCAGACCGGGCGCCGTGAGGGGCGCGTCCGAGACCGCGCGGCGCCCACTGCCCACGGGAAGACGCGGGTGACGGCCATGCAGCCAGCGTGGCCAAGGGGAGACGGGCCAGCCCAGCGGCAGCCGCAGCAGCAGGCATTCCGAAGGCAGAGCTCAAAACCAAACCAAGAAACCAGTGCCTACAAGGGAGACAAGTCCTCGGACAGGCTGCAGGGTGGGGTCATCTAGTATCAGTCCAGCCGCTACCATGGGCATTATGGCTGTAAAGATCCTAGTTAGAGAAGTACAGACAGACACAGAGAAGGTAAAAACGGGAGGCGTGAAAATAAACACACTCCACACACACACCCGCACCCCCCCCACCCGGAGGGTCTGCTGCTGTTGCATGTTACGGGCGGAGCTGTGCCCCCGCCTCTGTGTGTATGTTGAAGTCGTCCTAACCCCAGGGCCTCCGAATGTGACTTTATATGGAAATAGATGCAACTAGTGGAGACGAAGTTAGGCCCCGGCCCGCACGGCCCAGTGGTTAGAGCCTCAGCCCGAGCACCAAAGGGTCGGTTCCCGGTCAAGGGCACAGACGTTCCACCCCCGGCCCCGGTCAGGGAGCATGTGGGGGGCAACCAATCGATGTCTCTCTCTCTCTGTCCCCCTCACTCCTTCCCTTGTGCTCTCTCTTAAAAATCAGTGGGAAAAATTATCCTCAGGTGAGGGTTAACCCCAAAACAAAACAGACGCAGTTATATTGCAGTTGGGGGGGGGTCCTTATAAAAGGGGGGAATCTGGAGACAGGACGCGCACACAGGAAGAAGCCACGTGAAGATGGAGAGATCGGGGTGAAGCTTCTGGAAGCCAACAGAGGCCAGCAAACCACGGGAAGCGGGGAGAGAGGCACGGGGCTGTTCTCCCTCCTGGCCTCGGAAGGAACCGACCCTGCCTCACCTTGACCTTGGACTTGCAGCCCCCGGAACTCAGAGCACATTTCTGACGTTTAAGCCGCCCGGTTTGGGGCCCTTTTGTTACAGCATCCAAACTGCCAGGGCAGGTGACACCCACCGAGGGAAGACGGGTGTCGGTGCGGGCCCGGGCGTGGGGAAGGGAGTGACTGAGTGCTCACCGGTCCCTTAGCTGGGCCAGGAAAACAAGCACCAGCCAAGCCATCACAGCTTATTTTGAAGTTTTTTCGTGGCTTTTTTTTTTTTAGATTGACTGGGAAATGATATAAAATAATTGTCTCCAGTGAGGCTTGGGGCGTGTCTGTGTTCTGATCACCTCTGATCACCCCGCAGAGTAGCTGGCATCTTGGCAGAACCACCTGGAAGGCTTCTCAGGGCGACAGTGAGAAGCAGGGATACCGTTTGCTAAATGAAGGGGCCCCATCCCCGGAGGACAGGCCAGAGGGCACAGTTAGCTTTCCAGGGGCTCCGAGCCACACGGTTCTGCACCCACCTTCGCCAGGACTCCTCTGTTAGCATGACAGGGACCCCCGAAGACACCGTCTTTGTGTGGGGATGGCCCTAGACGTGGGGTCATTTTTTTTGCCTGGACACACGCTGGGCCTCACTTGGGGTCTGATCAGGGCCACACTGAGGCCCAGGGGCCTTGGGACACGTGGAAGTCCCAGCCGGGTTACCGTCCGTGTGGCTCACTAAGTGGACAGCCCCTTGCCCTCCCTGTTACCCGAGCCTCCCGCAGAGGCCGCCTCCTCTAGAGGGACAGCTACGTCCATGAGAAAGACGGGCTCCTTCTGGCAGCAGCTCACGTCCTGGACGTGGCAGAGCTGCTTTGAACACCCGCTCTCGGAGGAACGTGTCTGGAAGACAAACCAAGCGAGGGTCCCCCAGCAGCACCTCAGGCCGGGTCATGCTCGGCTGTGAAGCTATTTCCAGGCT